GAGTATATACATGCATGTGTATACATATATACATATATATATATATATCTATTATATTATACACATTGTGCGGATTTTATACTCTAGTTTCCTGTCAGACTCAAGACCTGTATCAGAACTGTACTGTGCATCGCGGGACCTGAAAGCTACGAATTTGGGGCATAGGAATACGTGCGAAAGGCGCTGGACAACGCCAAGCTTTTGTGTCCTCAAAAATCGTGTTGCTTTCAAGGGCCTCTGAAGGGTGTGTACCATTCCGAACAAGATGAGTTCCCTGTGAAAGGAACCATGGCGCCCGGTTGCAAGCCCCCTGCGGAAATGTCCAGTTCTGTTATCCCTATCCGTGCCATGGGTGCTAAGTTGAACAAACATTTGGAAATGAAGCCAAAAGAAGATGCATGACTTGTTCTTCTTCCCAAAGCCTCAATTTTATCCCCCCCTCCACCCCCCCCCCAAACCCTCCCCAAGTAACTTACAAAAACAGACGCCACAAAATGGAAGAACGCCCTGCGCGAGCTCTCATTCTCAGCCGCCAGGCGCGTTCCTTGGCCGCCTCGGGATGCGCCAGCGATGTGTCGAAAGATCTGCTGCACGAGTCTGGGCCTATTCCAGCTACAAATTGGTGTGGGTCAAAAAAAGGTACCCAAAATGGATCCCTGGTAAATGGAAACATGGACTAAAACCTGCGGTCCCCTGGTGGCTTAATTTTGACCCATACCCAAATCAGGAACACTTTTTGTGGGCTGACTCCCAAAAACTATATTTTCCAATCAGTTCTCCAGTTTGCCGCAAACTACTATGATTCCCAAACTGGAATGAGTGAACACCATCGGTCCAAGACCTCCCGATCGGCGAGCCTAGTACTGGTGAGCTTGGTAAACATTGGTCAAAACTAAGAACCCCGGCAACATATGAAGCAATTCGCAGACCTGAAATCGGGGATATGTGTCATTGCAAACCCGCAGAAGATGAAGTTGCTACACTTGGCCTGGAAACTTAGATGTTTCCCCTCACTAGGCGACCCTCATTCTGGCACATGTCAACGATTGTTAATTTGCCCATCAGCTTGAGCAGGCAGGGTCCCAGCCACACCACAAACCAACTGCACACTCGAACTGTTCAGCCCGTAACTCTTCAGAAAAAGGCTGGGGTCCATTGCTTTGATCTTCTTTGAAACCTGGCACAACAAATTTGCGGCGGAGGGGGTCCAGAAGACTTAAGTGTCACTCATATAAAGAACAGGGAGCTTCATTAACCAATGTAATCCACTTTAGGCAAACAATGTTTAGGGAAGCTTTCAACTATGGACAACTTAGCACAGGAAAGTGTCCAAATACATAGCTCCTTTGCGGGCACAAACGGCGGTGCTGCCAAGAAAGAAGCTTTCCCTGCAAGCCTTGGCCATGCCCACCACATTGGAGCTGGTTGCTCAGATGGTTGGCTTAAACCATGTCACTGTTGGCCGATGGGTTACAGCTAAACGTCGATACCCATCAGCCTGCCATCAAAATCCAACAACAATCCGCCGCCACAACAAAATGATACGATACCCTTGTAATGTTTTCCATTGGTCATGAGAATCTGCTAAATTTAAAGGACGACTCCATGATGTCCGCTACTAGGCCTAGTGCGGTTCGATACACAACCAGACCGACTCTGTAGAAAAGGCGTGGCAGCTATCCTCAAGTGGCCAATGTGCGTCATCGAGCTGGGGCTTGTGTTGCTTCCCCCAAAGGATCTAAAATCACTAAAAGGTTTAGGCAGCTGACAATGTATTTCAGCCATGTCGTGTGAAAACGAGGGTTCATTCTGGGGTGCATTATCTTTAGCTTTAGAACCCACCAGACAAAGAGGGATTTGCCCGTACATTATGCAGCAAAAAAAGGCTTTTGTGTTAGACTTGGTCCCACCTTCATTACAAGAACTGCTCGCGGCTCGCACCCTGAAGCCGCCAACTGCACAACAAGAATGCTTTTCAAGACTCGCCTACGTGTTTTTGCTTCCTCTTGCTTTTTTTTTAAGGGGGGGGGTCCCCCCATTCCACTCCAACACATGTCCCTTGTGCCAACCTTTGTGGTAGCTCATTCTTGCCTTTTGGTCAAACTGGAAAATGAAGGACCCCCAAGAGGGCTGAAAAGGGGAAGGCCAGGACCGGAACTCGGCCATCTCAGTCTAGTCTGAGTTCCCAGCCTGCTGGCCTGGCGTTGGGGGCGTGAATTTGAGTTCTGGCTGCTGTCATTTTGAAGAGGAGGCCTACCGGCTTTTGGTCCACGGGACCTCACTTTGCCCATCTAGTGGAAGCTAACGATCGGGTCTTGAAAGGCACTTTTGTCAGAGAACTGACAAGGAAAACCAAGAAATTGGGAGTCTTGAATCCCCCATTTCACGAACCTTGTAAGTAGTAAACCGCCCCCTTCAAACCGATGTCTTACAAAGAGCTGCCTGAGCTGATATGTTCCAAGCCTCAGGTTGCCTAGTCGAGAGCGCAGACCTTTCCAGAGCTTCTTTCCCCGGGCTTCAATGCTGGCCGGGTCAATGTCCCAACCGATCACTATCAAATGCCGGGACATGACATTGACGCCTTTGGGGATTTGTCTGCCCTTCACCTATGCCTATGCTTAGTTCGGATTTGAGTCTGGCGGTGAAACATTTGACTATGAAAACCACCAAGATCGCCAAGTACCCTCATCATCCCTCATCTTCCCAGATAACGCATGGAGCTTGCATGGTATCGCCTCAGATGCCTTGATGCTCTGCCATTCGTACCCCAACAACGCCAGGCTGCCTGTCATCATGACTCAGTTTGGTGTTTGCGTACCTCACAACCTCAGTCTAATCTGCAAATACCACAATACGTTCCAAACCCGAAATAAGAGGTTTGGCAAGTAGGTGACATTCATGGCCTTCGCTCGTTCCCCCCCCCAATCGGTGGAATCGCTCGCCACAAAGTAGACAGGATCTACGTGATTCATTCCATTCTGGTAGACTGATATTTTGACCGAAGCGACTTAAATGGCTATGCGCCGAAATTGGCAACCCAAATGTGTGATGGTTTTCCTGCGTCCCTTTAAGCCCACATGGGCATCCTCAAAAAACACACACACACACACACACACGCACACGCACAAGCACACACACACACCCCACACACACACAGACACACACACACACAGACACACAGACACACAGACAAACAGACAAACAGACACACAGACACACAGACACACAGACACACAGACACACAGACACACAGACACACAGACACACAGACACACAGACACACAGACACACAGACACACAGACACACAGACACACACACAGACACACAGACACACAGACACACAGACACACAGACACACAGACACACAGACACACAGACACACACAGACACACAGACACACAGACACACAGACACACAGACACACAGACACACAGACACACAGACACACAGACACACAGACACAGACACACAGACACACAGACACACAGACACACAGACACACAGACACAGACACACAGACACACAGACACACAGACACACAGACACACAGACACACAGACACACAGACACACAGACACACAGACACACAGACACACACACACACACACACACACACACACACACACACACCACACACACACACACACCACACACACACACACCCTGTGCCTTGAGGCCATGCTTCTGGGGCGCGTTGCGATCCCCCTCCAAAATCACCAGGATGGTGTCCCGGTAGCTGGAGGGCCTCATCTTCCGCAAAAAGAGAAGAAACAAAAACAAAAAAAACAGAGAAGCGCCAGGCACTGGCTGGAGTTGAGGCTCCTTCTATGATTCGGGAACCATACTGCGGGAAGTATACGGCGCCATAGGCTGTTTCCTGGTCAAGGCGATCTCCTAAGAGGTAAAGTTCGTGCCAACTTCGGTGTCAATGGGGTGAAGTTCCGCAAGCTTATAGGATCCATCGGAGGTTCCCCCAGTAGCACAAACCCAACTGGCAAGGGAATGTACCCTTCACACGCTTGAAACTGCCTAAGAGTACGGCTCTTAGAACCTTAAGAGTACGACACTTCGAGGTTCGAGGATGCGGGTTCGCGAGCCTCCCCGCACCCCAATCCCTAAAGGAGCAACGCGGATCGAGCTACGAGCACCCAAAGGTATCCTTTGACGGAACTAGAAAGGGATTGTTTAGGGGAGCGCGTTTTCTGGAACTTTCAAAGGGCAAACCGAAAAGGAGAAGACGCCTTTTGCAGAATTATGGGGAACCTCCCCAACGCGAAATCCACTGGACTGGATCATATATATATATATACACATATTATACAAAATATGGTATATATTCCCGCGACTACTTTGTCACTAGATCCCTTGGTATCCGAGGAGAGCGCAGGTCGCCCTCCAAAGCGCACAATCAAATCTCTTGAGGAACAGGATTCCCTAGACTTCCGAGTTAGTCGAGCCAAAATACGGGGTTGACTACTGTTTGATGGCGACCTTTTCGGAATGGCTGGCCACAGGAAACAAAAAGGGAGCATCGAAGCACATGGTTGGGATTCCATATATGAGTATACTACTGCTTAGATACCTTTAGCATGGTTAAACTTTAACAAAAAAAAACATGAATTGGGTTGATGACCATTCTAACTAAATCCAACTGTTGGACCTTTTGGAACCTCACCCACTCGCTACAGAAAGCATATCTTGTGCGACATTTGGGGGCCAGCTCCCAACATACTTCAGCCTTTGCCACCACCAACCAGGCGGATATGCTTGAGTCTGGTCCGGAGCCTTGAAATGCTCACATTTCAACAATGGCGCGTAAGACAAAAAGGCTAGTCTTGAAAATAATGAACGAGAAAAACAAACGACTGCTGATACAGATGCTTCAACCTGGAAATATCTTTTAGATTCAACATGAAGCAAAAGTGGAACTCCCCCCCAATTTGCATCCGAAGGTCGATTCGCTTGGCACAACTGGAGAGTTTTGTTGCGGAATCTCAGTTCAGGACACTAACTCGGAGAAGAGGGCGATCTTAAGGAGCGCCATCAGAGGCACGCTCAGCCTCGCCGCAGCTTGTTGAGCGCGCGCGTGCTTAAAAGTGCGCCATTTGGCCCCAAACAAGACCCCCCCCCCCCCCTCCCCCCGCCGCAACAAAAGCAATAACCAACGAAGCAAACTAACCCCAGCTAAAATAGTAAACCAAAGCCTCTTTTGGTGAAACCCTTGTTTTGAGAAGTCCAACCCTTCCAAAGCAAGCTTGGAAAACCCCAAGGCATCTTCCAAAACCCTCCCCCCCCCCGTCAAGGAAGAAAAGAACAGAAACTCAGAGCTACCCAAAGTCCCCTAGCAACCAAGCAAACAACCAACCAACCCAACCAAACAGAGCGCGCTTTCGGTTCAGGCTATCCGCTCCTGATCCAACGCAGCTCAACTCGGCTCGACGGAACCCTATCGTGTCAAGCCCAAACCTCCGACGTATGGGAGAAGGAGCAAGCAAACAGGGGAGTCCCTGCGTCAACAAATGGGTCTCAAAATAGGGAACCCGTTCGGATGGTTTTAAAGGGAAACCAAAAGGACACCAACCACCCGGGTGGGGTTCCCAATTTTGAGAGACACCCATATTAGTCCCAAAAGAATCATAACACGCCAAAAACAAGAAAACCTGACAAAAACATCCACAAAACAAACATGAGCCAAAAGAAATCAAACCAGCCCAGCCCAAGCAAACCGAGCACCACTCGCCACTTCGCCGGACGAGACAAGGGCTGAATTTCTAAGGCTCGGGCAGCATGCCCGTGGGCCCCCAGAGGTACCCAAAGATGCCCACGGACCTGAGAGATGTGCATGTGTGTATTTGTGTCACCCTCAACTGGAGATATTGGAACATTGCCCCCAACTTACCCCTTACAACTCCAAGCCCTGGGGAAGTTAGTCTTTTACAGACATATAGCCCATGTTACCCCCAAAAAGTTGAAAAGTTGTGTTTTTAAGAGGTAAGCCAAAATTTGATGGGGGGAGTTCCAGTGCTTCTGGGCAGCTTGAGGGTCCAGGCACTTGTTTTGCGGTTGCTTTAAAGAGACACCTGCAGGACAATCTCACCATTTCGGGGGCTATGGACCCCGATTTTGACACACGAGGGGTCGTTCTTCAGGGATGTGACTGGACCCCGGTAAAAGGAAAACCGAAGGAACCCCCAAAGTGTTCCACCTGGATTTGTTTTGGGCATCTTTGAAAAGCTCGGAGAAACCGCACTCCTGCTTTGCCAGATTTCGGGAAAGGTTGACGTGGCTCCGAGCAACCGAACCATTGAACCCTGAAAGCAGGGACAGGATCCTATGCTAAAACATCAGTTGACACCAAAGGTAATGTTCAAGCCCATCTTGTTTGATAGTCATCTTGGAACCCTGTGGGGCAAACCTGCACGCTAAGGCCCAAGCGAGTTTTCAGCTGTACGCCCGAAAAGCGGAACGGATTTCAGGAGCCCTCGCCCCAACTCTACGTAACCACCAGACAAAAGCTATATGCAGTTGTCTCGAAAGGGAAGCCTAACGGAAACCAAGGGGAGTAGCTAACTCGCAAACTGGTTGCCAAACAACTAACTTGCTAAAAAAAAATAGTTATCTCAATTGAATGCCCAGCTGACTATAGCTAACTGACCAAAGGGAACCCGCGGTGAAACCAAAGCAACGGACACCGAAGCCCAATTTGGGTGACCCGCTAGCGCCTCTCGTCTCGGGTTCCCAGCAGCAGGATCATCACCGGGTGCATCCTGAGCTTCTTGTCGCTCTCGATGAGCTTCACCTGGCAAATGGGATGAGACCGTGCGAGCCAAGTTGATTCAGATGCGAGCCAAACTTGTAAACCGAAATACCTCAGGATGGGATAATAATATATATATATATATATATGTATATATATATATGTGTATATATATATATATATGTAATAATATCATTTAACCCAGTTGTTCAATAAAAGAAACCTCTTCATTTGTCCAACCCCAAATCGTTTGTCTTTTGACTTCCATTTTAACTTTTGCTTTGTGGGCCCAAAAGTTGGTATGTGCTCCAAAAAAGCTCCCCATTGAACCCCTGGTGAACATGCGATTGAAAGCTCGGCTCGCAAGCTCCTGTCACAAAACAACCGGCCCAAAGTCTGGAAATGAGGGCTCCAAACATGGTTGTGGAGAGAGAGGAGACAGGGGGTTTGACTTGGTATCACGGAAAGCGATCCTAAAACCAAGTTCCTTACGACAAGGTCCACAGGATGCTCATCTCATTTTCCAAGTTTCGGCCCCTCCGGTCGCGCTCGAACCCCGCCGGCGCTCGGCGAAAGCTTTCGAGTCTCTGAGTCGCGCGCCTCGATGACGTTGCTGAAGGAGAACTTCAGCGCCAGTTGCCCCACCACAGCCGTCACCAGCACCTGAGACGCGCTCGGAGGCGAGGTTCAAGGGACGTTGGTGGGGGGCCGGTGAGGAGTGATCCACAATGGGGCCGGAGGTGAGGGGTGGTCTTCTCCCAGAGGGCACTGTTGAATTCGGGGGCTAAGACCGAAGAAACAGAAACCAAGGTTCTACCCCATTTGGGAAGGCTCAGCTCGCAACCTTGGGAATGAAGAATTACCTCCACCATCCATTGTAGCATGCCCTTCATGGCGCCTCATGTTGACCCATTACCCCTTATACAAGTCCCCTTCTAACCCCTTGTTCACCCCCCCCCCCCGCGCCTGTACCATCCGAACACAAAAAACTCCATTGCCAGATTCCTGGACCCACCCCTAGAGAATACACCTCAAATCGGGGGAACCTGGTTCCAGGGAAACCCAGGAGGTTCTTTTGACGACGGTTTAAGCCGTAAAACGGCGAAATCTAAGCCCCCGCTGGCGCGCGGTGCAATTTGTCTGCGGCGGAGCCTCCCTGTGCGATGCTGTTGGAATGCCCCCGCGGTTTGGCGGCCGGAGAATCGGATAGCACAGTGGTCTGTTTTCGGGTACCTCCGGACAAACAACTTGTGTCGCCCTGTGCTATGAGTTTCAATGTCCACCAACGGCTCCCCAACGAACAAAACAAGATTGTTTCTGGAGTCCTGGCATTCGGGAGTGCGGGGAAAAGTCAAAGCTAAAGAACACATATAACAAGACGCATGGATCTGGGCATGCTGTCAATAGAAATACTCACTTATTGAGTGGCTGAAAAGTGCAAACTGGCTGTTTGCCGCTGAAATGGGTCCAGACTCAAAAATGCCAACATCATTTGGCTTGCGTCGAGTACTCCACCGCTCAACCGTCACGAGGAACAGCTGGATCCAACAAGTCGGAGCCACAAACAAGGGTAAGTGAGCAGCCCAAAATCCTTCAACACTTCTATGATGATCATGTTTGATGTATCCCTTACAATAAAACAACAACACCCCTGAAACCACATAGAACAACCTGATACAGAAAAATTAAAATGGCAAATGGTTTTTTGGGCGCTCTGTTCAACGGATTTGTTCATGAAAATGCCATGATTTGTCGCTTTTTCCAGCGCAGAACCTTCCCAACCTTCCAAACTAATTCCCTGCCCATCATTCTTTGAATAGGGAAGCCCTTGACGTAGGCAATATGCAACGTTAAGAATGCTCCACGTATTGCACGCAAAAAATGCACCGAGGTGACGTTATCAACATGCCGATTCGTTCTGGGGGCCACAACAGGTCGACCTACCGGCAACTTGGCGAGTCCTCCCATCGTTTGCTCGTGCCATGGAGCCAGGATGGGCCGCTCAAGACGACTGTCCAACAGAATCACTGGGCACGGCAAGACCTCGAGAGCCGGGACACGGTCAAACTGAAGGATTCCTCTACAGGGTATGGGAAGATTTAAGGATTCGTGCCCCTTTTCTTGAGGGAAAGTTAGAGCTCTCCCCCTTTTCGTGATGCCTACCTTGTAGTGGAACCAGCATTGCAGTGGACAAAAACCATTTCTATGATACCAGGATGTCCGTAATTGTAAGGACATCCTCGTGGCAAAATTATCAGAACCATGTTTGCGTGCGCGGCTTCCAATGCATGGACTCAAGAAATGGGCCCCCAGAATAGAAGATTGTTTGAATGGCTGGGAACGGCACCAATACCAGCCAATTTTCCAAGGGTTGCGGAAACATTCCAAGGCCTGACAGGCACTTGTCCGCAGTGCTCGCCAATTGCCCACTTCTGGGAATCTATCACCAAACAAGGGCAGCTTGAAGTTTAGAACTTGATTGGAAATATGGACATGCGTCCCTGCTTTTAAGAAGAATTCCCAATGTTGTTGCTTGAAGTGAAACCGAAAAGACACCTATATCCTTTGTCACCGATGGTTGCCTAAGCTTGAGGCACCCCCACATAAGGGGTGGAGCCATTTGGACTTGCCTGAAATCCGAAGCAGATATTGAGATAGTGTCCGCTCCATGTCAAAAGGCTTGCCGCAAACCCAGTGTGAATGCTTGGTGCTTTTCGCCCCTCCCTCTAACATGGCAAATGGGATATCTGCCAAAGTGACCCTGCTAAGTACCTGTCAAAGATAATTGTATATGTTGTGGGGAAAAGGCAAGCTGCTTGTATTGGCCAGCTGGAAAAATGTGAGTGACCGCATCGCGGGAAAAGCTCAAGTTTCCCACATTGCGCTGGCGACGCATTAACACAACCCCGTAGCAAAAGGACAAAGTCATGTTGACCCCATATTAATGAAGCCCAGTTTACGAATAGGGGTTGATTAAGATGGGGTCAACATTAAACATCAGCTCTCTTTGACTTCTACTATCTTCTACTCAAAGTAGTCCACGCCAGACGCTCAATCAAGCAGCCGGCTTTCCTCTTTCGACAGATCTCCATGAGCAAAGGACACATGGTCACAAATATGCCCTCAACGCAACGCAGTGGGCATGTTAGACGAGATGGTTGATTGAACCCTGTGCTGCACTGATTTCACGAGGCTGAATTCAGGAATCTCAAAGAGAGGAACCTATCAGCCCCGCCCCCGAACAACGGCCTCGTCCCATGTTCAACATCCCGAGACCTGCTTCAACAAAAGCAGCGGTTGGGGGGCTCTGGTCGAGTCAGAAACAAAAGTGAGCCACACATACCCGGCCGAGTCAGCATTCCCTAACCGCCAAGGGGAGGGACAACCTCCTATTGGCACTCTTCGATGCAGCAATCGGGGGCCCGGCCATGGCGATGAAGGGCCCCACCTTCGAAAAGGAGTACGTACTGATGGACGACATCCGTTCGCACCACCTAAGAGACCAGAGGAAACCCTTTTTTGTTGGTATTTCACCACTTCGGGACTATGGCAAGCTATTGTTGGTATTTACCTTGGGGAGTCGAATCTTGGGTGTCTGAACGCTGGTGCGACATGGATTTCGCCACCATCCACAGTATGGACCGAATTCCACTCGCACGGATTGCTTTTGGGCACGGGCTCGCTGTTAAACGTCGGGCCGGGGTTCTTGGGGCTCTCGGGGTTGGCCCGAGGGAGCGAAGCAGATGGGACTATGGCCATGTCCGTCCATCAAAATCAATGAGAAAACCCAGGGGCGGCTGTGCTGCATTCACCAAAAACCACTTGATTTTTGTTCCGCTGCCTCACAGTCTCAGGGGAGTGTTTGAGCCGTGAAATCGGCAGAACCTTTGATGGCTCCTGTGGCAGACATCATTCGCATTGGGATTTGTGTCTAAGTCTAGGTACTAAAAATGATCAGACCAAGAGGGAGACAAAGAAAGGGGAGTCTGGAAAATTAAATCATACATCCCCTTACCGTTTCCTTTAGGGGAACTTGCCAACTGTGTGCTAAGAAAGCGCCAGCAGCAAGAAACCACCTGCCCTTCCATGAAGAAACATGGCAGCTCACAATCTTCTTTTGGACGACAACTTTGCTTTCGGAAAAGTGGCTTGTGCACCAAGCCATGCTCGGTGGGACGCTAACTCGTACACCTTCCAGGTACCCCGCCCAATCAAAAACCGAACTTCTGCAAGTGGCTCCCTATCCCAAGCTGTTAAACGCCTCGAGACCTTCCATGTTCGGAAGCTCAGCCATGAAGGAGACACACGGGCCTAGGCTACTAGGCCGAAGCCACGGTTTCCCGCCGCCTCCGGCACGAAGTTCAAGGCGAAGGTGGTAAGTGCGAAGACAGACCTAAGGCAACAAGCTGAGGCGCCGTGGGTCCCAACATAAGGGAGCCCGAATCAAAAAGAGCCTAATCGAACACCATGTTTGTTGATCTCTGGTACTTATTGGCTAGTCAATGTGCTTTCTCATTTGGATTGTGAGCCCCGCGATACAAGAAAGCCTGAAGGGAGATGACAGGCTTGGGTAGCAGAACCTCTTGGAAGGTAGGTTTTAGGCTCTACTGCAACCCCCTCTGCGGAAACCGATAGGTCAGCCATCATTTTAGGGATGGCATGATAGTTGACATCCAGTGCCATTCCTGAAAACAAAAAACACCGAAGCCACGGTCAGTAATTCAGGGGAATGGCGTTGAACTCACCGAATTGTCATGTCAGCTGGGAACAGAATTAATACTGACTGCGGCTCACATCCATTTGGGGTGTCTTTTAGGGAACTGAAACGGGCTAGTTAGCACCAAGTCGGCATTGGTGACCTTTTGGACAAATAGATGGCCCTGGACGCAACAACCAATCTAAACCAGTGGAACCCATCTAATCCAACACCGACAAAAGGGCCCTTAAAATGACCACGATCTTGCAGAACCGCCTGTGCAGGTTCCATGTTGTTTTGGGGAGGGTAACCTCAAAAGGACGCCTAGGCAAGTGAATCTGTGCTCCATGTTGACATCATTGTTGCCATAGGTGTCCTTTACTTTAAGGGAAATAGATGGCCCTGGTAGATGATTAGACGAAGAGGTAAGCCAGGGCCATCTATTTTTCTAGCAAAAAAATTAAACAAGGACACCTATTTTTGTTGCCTTTCGGCAGCCACAGCTGCCATTTCCAAACCGGTGGCATCGACTGCCAGGGCGTACTGGCGTGCCTGCCGCCTTTCTTTGGGCACCCTTTTCAGGTTGGCTTCGAGAAAAACAGAAAAGGAACCCCACCATTTTGGGCAAGTCCCCCTATTTTGAAGCAGGTCCAACTGTACATGAATAATTTTCCGATGGGGTTGTGGGGTGCTTCCGAACCAACGTAAGTCATGTTCATGGAAGCAACATGTTAGCAACAAGTCCCTGGACCTCCCCTATCTTTCTTCGGTGACCAAAAGGTGATGTTCAGAGCCACGGGAAACACACGGAACCCTAAGCAAGCGCGGTCAACGCGAAGCCCAATGGGCATTTGGATGACCTTCCGGGTGCCCACCGAATCGGTGAGCTCGAAGCCCAATGGGCAGACCCGAGAAGCATTTGTGGGACATCACTCAATCTGAAGAGGTTGGCCTGATTTTCTCCCCAGCCCGTACAAAAGCCTTCCAGTTGAAGGTGTCACACCCAACCTAAAACCATGTTCAAACATATGCTCAAATCCGGGCAACACGAACAACTGCAAAACTGCCAAAAGGGTCTTCCCAAAAACCATGTGAAGAATGGGTGTCCTCTTCGTTATTGAGGTTGCCTGTTCTCGGTGGGAGCCCAGCCTCAGACTGATGTTTCTGGCAAATACAGGAACAAAGACTGGTTCTGCTTGCGGTTTGAAACACGCCCCCTCATAACCCTAGAAGAGAACCCTAGCACTGGGTGTGGTTCCGCTCTAGGGGGTCCGCCTGG